CAAATGCCTCTAATACAGAATAAATAAAGCTCCAATCCAAGCGATCATATGCTTTAGTCATGTCTAGATTTAGCATAGTGTTACCCCCTCGCATTCTATCATCCAAAGTATGGAGAAGCTCCTAAACCAATATAATATTGTCCCCAATTAGGCGACCAAGAATGAACCCACTCTGTTGTAGAGAGATAATGCGTGGTAACAGTGTACTCAATCTAGTGATCAAAAGCTTAGTAATAAGTTTATTGAACAGTGTACATAAATTGATGGGTCTAAAGTGGGTCCATCTACAAGCGTCGTCCCTCTTAGGGAGCAATACTATAGTAATAGCTGCAAAACTCAGTGGGAGATGGCCGCCTTCAAGAAGTCCAAGACTACCATGTATACATCATCCTAAATAATGTCTCGACAATGTTGGAAGAATAGGGATGAGAATCCATCCAGTCCGACAGCACTATCAACATCTATACTAAACATTGCATCCTAAACCTCATAAATCAAAAGGATGCGATTTAGTGCCAAATTATCATCCTTTGTGCAAAGCCTGGGGATGATATCAAAACAAATGGAGTCCAAGGGCTGTGTAGTAGCAGATATAAGACCATGATAGAATGTAATAGCTAAAGTCTGAATGTCAGTAGGAGTAGTTAAGACTTTCCTTGCATGCGTCCTAATGGACCTAATACGCGATTTGATCTTACGTCCTTCAACCATCACATGGAAATAACGAGTATTGTGATCTCCTTCACATACCTAAAGTGAACCGACTTTTTACTTCCAAAAACCTTCCTCAATAGATAAGGTCCTGTTCAAAACTGTCCGTACATGATGCAATAGGTCACGATGCTCCGATATAAGGCCTTTATCATATACTATCTCAGCCTCATCTACCCTATCCTTAGCATTTCGCACCCATTGGAAAATATCTTCAAACACATGTCAATTCCACCAATGTAGTCCCTGTTTCAGCCTAAAGAACTTTTCCTGAAGAGCTGCCATCTCCGTTAGATGAGTAGGGAGCGACCACTTCTAAGTGACAAAGGATGAAAAATCGTGATGCTTGGTC